GTGGTGTGGGTGGTGGTGTGGGGTGGTGTGGGGTGGTGGGTGGTGGGGGTGGGGTGGGTGGCAGTGGTGTGGGGTGGAGTGGGGTGGCATGGGGTGGGGTGGTGTAGGGTGGGGTGGTGGGGGGTGGTTTGGGGTGGGGTGGGGTGGCGTGGGGTGGCATTGGGTGGGGGTGGTGTAGGTGGGGTGGTGTGGGGGTGGTGTGGCGTGGGGTGGCGTGGGGTTGGCGTGGGGTGGCGTGGGTGGCGTGGGGTGGTGGAGTGGGGTGGGGGTGGTGTGGGGTGGTGTAGGGTGGGGTGGTGTGGGGTGGTGTGGGGTGGGGTGGGAGGTGCGCAGTGGTTGTTGGGGTGGAGTGGGGTGGCATGGGGTGGGGGGGTGTAGGGTGGGGTGGTGTGGGGTGGGGTTGCGTGGGGGTGGCGTGGGGGTGGCGTGGGGTGGCGTGGGGTGAGGGTGGGGTGGGGTGCTGTAGGGTGGGTGGTGTGGGGTGTTGTGGTGGTGGGTGGGGTGGCGTGGGTGTGGGATGGCGTGGGGTGGCGTGGGGTGGGGGTGGTGTAGGGTGGGGTGGTGTGGGTGGGGTGGCGTGGGGTGGGGTGGGGGTGGTGTAGTGTGGGGTGGTGTAGGGGGGTGGGTGGGGTGTGGGGGGGGTGGTGTAGGGTGGGGTGGTGGTGGGGTGGTGTGGCGTGGGGTGGCGTGGGGTGGCGTGGGGTGGCGTGGGTGGCGTGGGGGGTGGCGTGGGTGGCGTGGGGTGGCGTGGGGTGGGGGTGGTGTGGGGTGGTGTAGGGTGGGGTGGTGTGGGGTGGCGTGGTGTGGGGTGGCGTGGGGTGGCGTGGGGTGGGGGTGGTGTAGGGTGGGGTGGTGTGGGGTGGGGTGGGGTGGCGTGGTGTGGGGTGGCGTGGGGTGGCGTGGGGTGGCGTAGGTGGTGGTGGTGTGGGGTGGGGTGGCGTGGGGGGGGGGTGGTGTGGCGTAGGGTGGCGTAGGGTGGCGTAGGGTGAGGTGGTGTGGGTGGGGTGGCGTGGGGTGGGGGGTGGTGTGCGTAGGGTGGCGTAGGGTGGCGATAGGGTGGGGTGGTGTGGGGTGGGGTGGGGTGGTGTGGGGTGGTGTGGGGTGGTGTGGTGTGGGGTGGCGTAGGGTGGCGTAGGGTGGCGTAGGGTGGCGTGGGGTGGCGTAGGGTGGGGTGGTGTGGGGTGGGGTGGGTGGCGTGGTGTGGGGTGGCGTGGGGTGGCGTAGGGTGGCGTAGGGTGGGGTGGTGTGGGGTGGGGTGGCGTGGGGTGGGGGTGGTGTGGCGTAGGGTGGCGTAGGGTGGCGTAGGGTGGGGTGGCGTAGGGTGGTGTAGGGTGGGGTGGGGTGGCGTGGGGTGGCGTGGGGTGGCGTGGGGTGGAATGGCGTAGGGTGGGGTGGCGTAGGGTGGTGTAGGGTGGGGTGGTGTGGGGTGGGGTGGTGTGGGGTGGGGTGGTGTGGGGTGGGGTGGTGTGGGGGTGGGGTGGTGTGGGTGGGGTGGTGTGGGGTGGGGTGGTGTTGGGGTGGTGTAGGGTGGTGTAGGGTGGTGTGGGGTGGTGTGGGGGTGGGATGAGGGTGGCGTGAGGTCTCACCATGTTACCGAGGGTCGTGCCCCCCCCTAGCGAGGGTGACGAGGAGAGGGGGGCGACACGCTGCTGTGTGGGCATTGACATGGTCCTGGGGGTGAGGTACGTCACATCCTCACCCTCGCTGCCCCCCTACACACGCACACAGACACAGATAGACACACACACAGACACACACAGACACAGATAGACACACACAGACAGACATTTAGATACACACACAGACACACACAGACACACACAGATAGACACACACAGACACACACACAGACACATAGATACACACACAGACACACACAGACAGACACATAGATACACATACAGACACATAGATATACACACAGACACACACAGACACACGTACACAGACACAGATAGACACACACAGACACACAGACAGACATTTAGATACACACACAGACACACACAGACATAGATAGACACACACATACACATACAGACACAGATAGACACACACAGACACACACAGACAGACACATAGATACACACACAGACACAAAGATATACACACAGACACACACAGACACACGCACACAGACACAGATAGACACACACAGACACACACAGACAGACATTTAGATACACACACAGACACACACAGAGTTCTGCTTGCTGGGTTTCTTTTCCATCTCGGCCACCGCCACCGCTTTCCCGTAAAATCACCCCCCTCCTCCTCCCCCCGCCAGGGTGAGCGACACTTCCCCATTGAGAGCTTCCTCCAGACGAAGCCCCACAATGCACGTCACCTCGAGGGGTGCTCTGGGGAATCAAGCGGTGCACGTGACGGACCACGTGCTGCTGATCAAGTTTCATGTATTAGGTGTAGCCCTCTTCTTGGTTCTTTCGGTAAAGTCACGTAGAATGGAAGTAATACAATAATAAACATAAAACATAATAAAATAATTCTCACGACGTTTCGGCCACAACGCAAGCAGCCGTCCTCAGGTGAAGAATGAAACACCACCAAGCTTGGAGCGTACATTTAAGCTGGGTTGGAGGGGGGGGGAGGTGGGAAGAAGAGCGCCTTGACAAAATAATTTGCATATCAAGAGGAATTCCTCCGCTCCAAGCTTGGTGGTGTTTCATTCTTCACCTGAGGATGGCTGCTTGCGTTGTGGCCGAAACGTCGTGAGAATTATTTTATTATGTTTTATTTTTATTATTTTATTACTTCCCTTCTACGTGACTTTACCGAAAGAACCAAGAAGATGAATCCCTGCAGTCACGAAAGCTTTAAATCGAAATTTAGGTGTAGCCCTGTGAGCCATTCGGCTCTTGAATCGGGTGCAACCGCAACAAACAGAAAACTAAAACATGAACAAGAAAACATCTTGAAGTGAATATGTGACTGAGTGCAAACAGAAGATCCAAGAAAAGACAGCAAAATATTGCAGAAAAAGCACCGTACACCAACGCTGTGTGCAAACATCCCAGTGGGATGCAAGTCAAACAACAACAACAACAACCACAAGACAACTTAGATTAAGGCCATCAGTCTAACTCTGTACTACAACAAACAAACATGGCCAAACCGAAAAACTTTTCAAAAATCACCAAAATAAAGCCATGAAAGCAATGAAACAGTGATCATAGGAACTGTGACCGAATTTTCACAATAAACGACGTGAACAACATGTACTACCAAACTCCGCAGCCATAGCTGGCTGCTTGAGTCACTCCACAACAGCAGGAGACATTGAATGACGAAACCGGTCATTGCCCTAGAAACGTTTGGGCAGTTCACCAACATTGGTTCAAGCAGAGCTTGGCTCTGCTGCTGATGATGACACACGGACTGTAACGCCCATCGTATAATAATAAGTATTATATATTGTTGTTATTATGGTATTAGCCAGGGCGGCTTGCCAATCTGTACCACGAACCTCTGTGACACAAAGGAGGCTGTCTTGCTCAGGTGTAGGCCAATCGGTTCCAAGGGCAATGCGTTAGAGGTCGCAAACGGGTTTTGTTTCCTTACCCGTACCCGGCCGCACCAGGGTGGCAAACGGGTACCCGTACACGTACCCGGCCGGGTACGGGTAGCCGGGTATCGGGTAGGGTACGGGTATCAGGTACCCGGTTGCGACCTCTGGTTAGCAGTGTCAATGATGGTGTTAATGATGGTGTTGATGATGTTGATGGTAATTATGCTTATGATGGTAATGTTAATGATGTTTATAATGATGGTGTTAATGACTGTGTTGATTAGAATGTTGATGGTGTTAATGATGGTGTTTATGTGAGCAATGTCCATGATGGTGGTGTTGATGGTGGTTGCGTTTACAACACCGCTCACAACAACAACGAAGACGATGACGTCACCTGGCTTCTGGGCGGGGCCCCCAGCGCACTGCTGGGCTGCGATTGGCTGCGCAGACGATGTGGGTGGAGCCTCTGCTCCGCCCCGTGCAATTGGTCGAGCGAGTGGGCGTGGCCCGGCGAGGGGGTGTGGCCCGGCGAGGGGGCGTGGCTACCCGGCGAGGGGGCGTGGCTTCGGGCAGGGACCGGGAAAATGGCCGACGTGCTCCTGGTGATGGCGCCGGACCTGGGATGAGAGGAGCCTCCTGATTGGCCGGCGTTGGCGGAGTAGGACGGGCTTGGAGATTTGGATTGGTTGGCGGGGTGGGTGCCATCTGTGTGACGAACACAGACGAATTGTGACACACTGCGTACTAGCTAAACTATTAAACTGTTTTTATTTGACCAGGTAAGATCCAGTAGTAGGTTTTTACCCTTTAAACTGGTACAAAAACTGACACCTTTATACAAGGCATCATGTTTGCAATAACCACAACACAAGCAGTCAGAATGCAAACAAAAAGAAACAACTCTGATAATGATATGCACTGTTCTGGATTTGACAGACAACCATTACAGTTTTACCATGTCTAGTGGTGGTCTCCCTGTCACAGGTTGAGTCACAAACCGCACCTCTCCATAACAAAGGCTCAGCCAAAGGCTCAGCCTTTGTTATGCAGTCTATTCTTAGTCTTAAGCCTCACCTTACCATATTAATAAAAAGTATGCGGCCCTTGCCCCACCACCTTCTCCAACCATTATATAAACGGAGTGGTAGCTCCTGAAATCTCTCATTTACTTGATACAGCTGTCGTGGCTGTGACGGTACCACCTGAAGACGGAAGCTTGTGTTGCCTCCGAAACGTCGTGATTTTTATTTTATTTTACTTTTTAATGTTTTTACCTACGTCACTTTACCGAAAAAACCTAAGAATATAGATATGCACTGTCCTTGAAGTTGATTGGTCCACACCCGAGACAGCTTTTCTTAGAGCCTAGTCTCCATTGGTGTTGGACCAGATGACGCCAAAAGGCGTACAACTCAAAGACAGCGCACTATCAGAGTATTGAGAGCTCGGGGTAAGCATTTACACTATGAGACCTCCTTTACCAGTGCCAAAATATAGTAGTAGGTTTTTACCCTTTCAGCTGGTACAAAAACTGACACCTTTATACAAAATGATGCCACCAGTTTAAAGGGTAAAAACCTACTACTATATTTTGCCACTGGTAAAGGAGGTCTCACAGGTAAGATCCATTGAGCTTACAAGCGACTTGGCTACCACAAATGAACGTTCAACAAAATGTATAGCGGCAATCAAATACTGTGAACGCGTGATGTTGATTCTCAATGTTGGGGGGGAAATCGGAGAACATGCAAACTCCAAGTATACAGCAGACATTAGGGTCGGGATCGAAACCACAATCTCCTGCATACGAGGCGAGGGGTATAACATCTCATCACAACCATAGCACCCCAGACACACAAGAGACACACAGAGAGACACAAAGAGAACACACAAACAACAAATATATACCCATTCACTAACTCACTCACCCATTAATTCACTAACTCACATACCCATTTACTAGCTCACTCACCCACTCATTCACTAACTAACTCACCCATTCATTCACTAACTCACTCACCCACTCATTCACTAACTCACTCACCCACTCATTCACTAACTCACCCACTCATTCACTAACTCACCCACTCCTTCACTAACTCAATCATTTAGTCATTCACTAACTCACCCACTCATTTACCAACTCACTCACTGACACATTTACTCACTCACTCACCCACTCATTCACTAACTCACTCACCCATTCATTCACTAATTCACCCACTCATTCACCAATTCACTCACTGACACATTCACTCAATCAATCACTCACCTACTCACTGACCAACTCACTAACCAAATCACCCACCCATTGATTAACCCACTCACTCACCCACTCACTCACCCACTAACTCCTCCAAACCTCGCTGAGGTTATTGTGTTTTTGGCGATCCTCTTTACCTACGTGTGTACGTCCGGGCCACCAGTAGTGATAGAAATTATCTGAACCGATCCTGGCCCTCCTCTAGGTCGAATCAGCCTCGAATGAGTTCACGTGGTGCGTAGTAAACATCGCCACTGGGGATACAAAGGCGGTCAGGCAGGAATGGTGCTGGCCTTCGTACGTCCCCGCGAATCTAATTTTCTTCGACAGTCTGTTATGTTTGCTGTGGGGAGCGGTGGTTCAATGGTTATCACGCTGCGCTACGAACCTGGCGACCCGAGTTTGATTTCCGCTCAAGGACACCAACACCACCGGCAATTACTTAAACTGGTCCTGGGTATCCCCTAGGTCAACTCAGCCTCAAATGAGTAGCTGGTGTGGTGTGTGTAAAACATGGCCAATAGGGAGACAAAGGTGGTCGGGCGTGCGTGGCGCTGGCCATCCAACCCCCCTCGTGTGCCACCGTGCCGGCCTTCGTAGGCCTGCTGCTACTCGCCGCTAACAGTACTTGCTACACGGGGGGTCGGGGGGGGGTCTTTGCATGTATCTGTGTGTGTGTGTGAGAAAGAGACTGTGGCTAATGTATAGGAGATTGCAAATCATGTTTCCAGGAATCCGAGTCTGCACTTAAAGGAAATGCCATGCGGTGGTTAGTGGTGAAATATTCTCTGCGTGTGGCTTCACAATAACGTGGCCCAAGTGGTCGGTGTTGTTGATGTTCAAATGGCAGATACCTTTTGCAAGGCATCAAGTACTGCATGGATCACACGTACTTGTGGCAAAACATGCAGACAAACATGCTCCGATAACATATATGCATCGTCTTAAACATGCAAACGAATATGCGATCATCAGCGCATGCTTCGTTTGCATATTTTTCCACAAGAGTACGTGTCGTTAATGCAGACGATGCTTTGCAAAAAAGGTATCTATTTGGCGTTTGAATATCTTAACACAATTCCTGTTTGATTGCCAGAAAGTGTAAACACTTAGTAAAAATTTACACTATGAGACCTCCTTTACCAGTGGCAAAATATAGTGATAGGTTTTTACCCTTTCAACTGGTACAAAAACTGACACCTTTATACAAGGCATCATGTTTGCAATAACCACAACACAAGCAGTCAAAATGCAAACAAAAATAAACAACTCTGATGATGATAATGATATGTACTGTCCTTGAAGTTGATTGGTCCACACCCGAGACATCGCTGAGTCTCTCTGGTGGATCCTGTCAACTTTCTGTACGACTGGGTGTGATATTCCTACCGCTATTGTTGCTTCTGCTGCTTGATGCCAATTGAGTGATTTGCGGGCAATTTTTCAGCATTGGGGCGGTTTGGCCGCAATACCAGTTCCTCTGTGGGTGTGGGTTTAGCTATGGGAGGAAACGCATGCAGATCTCAAACTCATACGAGCCTAAGCGTGCTTCAGACCCGGCCGATCCTATGCAGGCCCAACTACTAAATCCTCACACAGCACATCAAAGATGGCTTCTGACAGAAGTTGATCACTGGGTCCAGCGTTTGTTGAGCTATCTATTGCATACGAGACTGTTCAACGCCACATCTTGATCCAAAAACTGTACCTCCTAACTGGCGACCTAGATCTTCGACAGACCATTCGTAGCCTCACTAAAGAACAGATGCCTCTATATGGAACTAAACGGGCAGAAAAGTAGAGAGCGTTTCCAAAAGAATGGCTTACCACAAGGCAGTGTGCTCGCCTCACTTTCATTCAATATCTACACCAATGATCAGCCGCTTCCTGGTGAATGTCAGCGGTTCATCTATGCTGATGATCTCTGTTATCACCACACAGCAGAGACATTTCGAGGATACAGAGAAGAAGATCTCCGACCATCATCACCTAGCCAGTGAACTGGAACACGTACACCAAGCCCTCAAGATGAATGGATATTCAGACCACACAATCCGTAAAGCTATCACCCCAACCGTTGGGAAAGAACCATCTGAGGACCCAATCAAAACCATCCCCTTGCCATACATAGCAGAGGTCACCAAAAATATTTCCAAAATCATGAGCAAACACAATATGCAGGTTCGATTTAACACAGTACAGACAATTCGTGATCTGATCCCATCTGTGAAGGATGAGATCCCTGACATGCAATACCCCGGCGTCTACAAACTAGGCTGTGTCTGCGGCAGTAGTTACATTGGGGAAACTAAGCGACATGTCTCGGACCGTGTTCGTGAACACAAGGCAGATCTGAAACACGGTAGGACCAATACCTCGGCTGTGGCTGATCATTGTTTTAATGCGGTGGGCTCACACGAAATTGATTTCTCTAAGACAAATTTACTTTGCAAGCCCACTGGCTATCAACAAAGATTTGTTCATGAAGCCATCCATATATACAGACACAATTTCAACCGAGAGGATGGGTACAAACTCAGCAATCACTGGAAGGACGTCAACAATAAGTTTAAGTCATAACTGGCTGTGATGTTTCATTTCAGCACTCTCTGAGGCTCACCAGTTTTTGAATCCTTCACATTAACATAACCTTCACCACTCATGCTGCCCCGGGTCTTTTGTGCCCCCCCCCCACCCACTCTGTTCTGACACTTGGGCTACGCCCATCTTAAACCTTTATAAACAGTTTGACTTTAAAGGCTTACCCCATTTTGTCTTAACCTGATGACGATCGCTTGCGTTGCGATCGAAACGTCGTAGTTTTTGGTCATAGTTTTTTTTACCTATCTACGTGACTTTACCGAAAGACCCAAAGAATACAATGTGTGCTTGTCAGGAGAAGCAAACCGTGGATCATCTCCTGAGATGACCTGCAGCAACCACAATACACTTCCTCAAGATTTGGCAATGCCAAACACCAGAAACCTGTGCAGAATGTTGGGAAATACAATAGAGGTTGGACAAGAGAAACGATGAAGAAGCGGAGTGCAGCGCTAACCACACTCACGCAATCACCCATTGCACTCAACAACAACAGTAGCCATCCGTTACTAAGTGATGGTGATGCCACCATGATGCTTGTGCCAGGCTAGCTGCACTTTGAGGCCATGTGAAATGTCGAGGGCTCTCTGCTGACAGAAGGTCACGGAACAGACCCAGGTGTCATGGGTTGACTGACTGAGATGCCTGGAAGATGAACCACCTGTGCCCCCTACTGTGCCAACTTGCTGCGTTTTAGCTGCCTGGCGCTCCACTCGTTGTGAGCGTCGCTCCTCCGCCCTCCGTTGTTGTTGGAGGGCGACTGCCTTCAACTGCCCAGTAGCGTCCTTCACGAGCCTCTTCCTCCACAGAGGCCGATGTTGAAACTACCGGTCATCGGCAAGTCCACCCAACTCCACATCCTCCTGTACCATATCAGTTAATCTCTTCTCCAGCCCGTGTCGTACCCATTTAGCCTCCTCTATCTAGCCAACCAAAAGCTGTTTGGGCATGTAGTGGCTGGGCATGCAGGCTACGTTACACAGCCAACACAGCATCACCTGCCGGAGGAGCTCACTGATGGAACTGTGTCTAGATCTTTCAAGGATCTGTGAACTCCTCCCACAATCCAGCCTGGTTTAACTCAGGATGGATCGTAGGCAAGCCAGCCTGAATGTTTATAACCGGCACCGATGTTCCATTACAGGGGTTCACGTTTTGCAAGCATAGAGAAGGAGGGCATCACTGTGGCCGAGAAGACCCGAAGCTTTGTGCGGAGCGACAGACCAGGTAGCTTCCACACATAGTAGCAGTAGTGGAGAGACAGGGAGGTGACGGGCTCTCTCACCGTGTTGCCCACACAGCTGCCGCAGCGCCTTGACCCACGCGTGCATCTCGTGTGCCGAGTCGGCCTCCAGCACGTATGCACGCTCCGGCGTGCGCAGCCCGAACACGTAGCCCAGGGACGAGGGTGGATCAGCCGCGGTGCCGCCACTCCTCTCGTGGTTCTCCAACCCCTTCTCCTCGTCCTGCGATGGAGTCGGAGTCGGCGTTTAGACTCTGAACGAACTTTAGATTTGAAGCTTTCGTGACTGCAAGGATTCATACGCTTAGGTTTTTTCGGTAAAGTTACGTGGGTAATTTTTATTTATTAAAATTAATAAAAGTCAAATAAAAATACAATAAAAATCACGACGTTTCGGAGGCAACACAAGCTTCCGTCTTCAGGTGGAGCAGTCACAGCACGACTGCTGTATCAAGTGAGAGAAATTCCAAGAAAACAGTCCTTGTATATATACTGGTTGAGGGTGGTAGGCCCCTTTTTTAATTTTACTTTTATTAAGTTAAAATTTTTACCTACGTGACTTTACCGAAAAAACCTAAGAATATGAATATCTGAACGAACTATTAAACTATTTTGTTTGTACCAGGTGTAAGGTCCCACTGAGGTGTGTAGCTCTTCTATCACGCTTTCATTGAACTCGCTCTGTCTGTTGTCGTACCCTCAAATCTTGTAACTCAATTTTTACCCACTTCCCAATGTGGTATCGACTGCAAACTTGGTATACTTGTGTCATACTGATGACAACACAATATTCTATCATTAAAAATAAAAAAATCGATTTTTTTAAATAACCTTTTTTACATGTTATGTTTCGGCTTGGGTCTAATTGTCCACGCTCAACTCACGTTGGCTGTAAATCACGACGGTTCTCCTTGCGTCGTGGCAAGCCTCGGGGCCACTTCCTGGAGTCGTGGAGTTCTGCCATTACTCGTACGGTACATTTCATTAATATTCTTAGGTTTTTTTCGGTAAAGTCACGTAGGTAGATACAGCAGTCGTGCTGTGACGGTTCCACCTGAAGACGGAAGCTTGTGTTGCCTCCGAAACGTCGTGATTTTTATTTTATTTTATTTAACTTTCATTAAATTTACTTTTTTACCTACGTGACTTTACCGATAAAACCTAAGAATATGAATCATTGCAGTCACGAAAGCTTAAAATTTAGACATTTCATTAAAGCGTGTTTTTAAATATTACTTATTAAGAAGCGACTTCCATGGCCATCGCGTAACGACAGCTCAATGAAGTTGTCTTATCGTCATCGTCCTCGTGTGGGAATGTACAACAACAACAGCAGCAGCAGCAGCAGCCAAATGCTCTGAACGCCGTGGTGACGTTGATTCTAAATGTGGAGGGGAAAACCGGAGGACCCGGAGAAAAATCCACACGACCACAGGGAGAGAAAGAGACACGCGAACTCCACATATACAGCAGCAGGCGGCAGGGTTGGGATTGAACCCATGAACCCCTGTATACCATTTCGATTTAAAGCTTTCGTGACTGCAGCAGGGATTCATCTTCTTGGTTCTTTTGGTAAAGTCACCACGTAGAATGGAAATAATAAAATAATAAAAATAAAACATCATAAAATAATTCTCACGACGTTTCGGCCACAACGCAAGCAGCCGTCCTCAGGTGAAGAATAGGTCTGTCGATTAGACAGAGTCTGAATGACACGTCCTGGGCTTGGAGCGACTATTTAAGCTGGGAGGGAGGAGGAAGAGCGCCTTGACAAAAGAATTTGCACATCAAGAGGAATTTTATATACCAGGCGATGATGATGCCGTGTGTGATGACGCTGCGAGTGATGATGTTGTGTGATCATGGTGTGAGTGATGACGATGTGAGTGATGATGCTATTTCATAAGTGCGGTACGTACGTAAGCGCGGACGTTCGTACGTGCGAGGGTTTGTAAGTGTGCACGTTTGTAAGTACGGGGACTGCCTGTAAATCTCGACAAGATACGGTAAAACCTTGGATTGCGAGTAACTTGGTCTGCGAGTGTTTTGCAAGACGACCCAAATTTTTACTAATTATTAATTTGATAAACCAGCGAGGGTCTTGCAATACGAGCAGCACGTGCATACGCTTTGTCTGCCATGCGTCACGTGATCACAACTGACATACGAGCGCTTTGATATACGAGTGCTTTGATCTACGAGTGCTTTGATCTACGAGTGTTTTGATCTACGAGTGCTTTGATCTACGAGTGTTTTGATCTACGAGTGCTTTGATCTACGAGTGCTTTGATATACGAGCGTTATGATCTACGAGTGCTTTGATCTACGAGTGTTTTGATCTACGAGTGCTTTGATCTACGAGTGCTTTGATCTACGAGTGCTTTGATATACGAGTGTTTTGATCTACGAGTGTTTTGATCTACGAGTGCTTTGATCTACGAGTGTTTTGATCTACGAGTGCTTTGATCTACGAGTGCTTTGATCTACGAGTGCTTTGATATACGAGTGTTTTGATCTACGAGTGTTTTGATCTACGAGTGCTTTGATCTACGAGTGCTTTGATCTACGAGCACTTTGATCTACGAATGCTTTGATCTACGAGTGTTTTGATCTACGAGTGCTTTGATCTACGAGTGCTTTGATATACGAGTGCTTTGATCTACGAGTGCTTTGATCTACGAGTGCGTTGATCTACGAGTGCTTTGATCTACGAGTGCTTTGATCTACGGCCGCTTTGATCTACGCGTACTTTGATCTACGAGTGTTTTGATCTACGAGTGTTTTGATCTACGAGTATTTTGATCTACGAGTGCTTTGATCTACGAGTGCTTTGATCTACGAGTGCTTTGATCTACGAGTGTTTTGATCTACGAGTGTTTTGATCTACGAGTGTTTTGATCTACGAGTGCTTTGATCTACGAGTGCTTTGATCTACGAGTGTTTTGATCTACGAGTGTTTTGATCTACGAGTGCTTTGATCTACGAGTGCTTTGATCTATGATTGCTTTGATCTACGAGTGTTTTGATCTACGACCGCTTTGATCTACGAGTGCTTTGATCTACGAGTGTTTTGATCTACGAGTGTTTTGATCTACGAGTGTTTTGATTTACGAGTGCTTTGATCTACGAGTGCTTTGATCTACGAGTGTTTTGATCTACGAGTGTTTTGATCTACGAGTGTTTTGATCTACGAGTGTTTTGATCTACGAGTGCTTTGATCTACGAGTGTTTTGATCTACGAGTGCTTTGATCTACGAGCGCTTTGATCTACGAGTGTTTTGATCTACGAGTGTTTTGATATACGAGTTCTTTGATCTACGAGTGCTTTGATCTACGAGTGCTTTGATCTACGAGTGCTTTGATCTACGAGTGCTTTGATCTACGAGTGCTTTGATATACGAGTGCTTTGATCTACGAGTGCTTTGATCTACGAGTGCTTTGATCTACGAGTGCTTTGATCTACGAGTGCTTTGATATACGAGTGCTTTGATCTACGAGTGCTTTGATCTACGAGTGCTTTGATCTACGAGTGCTTTGATCTACGAGTACTTTGATCCACGAGTTCTTTGATCTACGAGTTCTTTGATATACGAATGCTTTGATCTACGAGTGCTTTGATCTACGAGTGTTTTGATCTACGAGTGTTTTAATCTACGAGTGTTTTAATCTACGAGTGCTTTGATCTACAAGTGTTTTGATCTACGAGTGCTTTGATCTACGAGTGCTTTGATCTACGAGCGCTTTGATCTACGAGCGTTTTGATCTACGAGTGTTTTGATCTACGAGTGCTTTGATCTACGAGTGCTTTGATCTACGAGCGCTTTGATCTACGAGTGCTTTGATCTACAAGTGCTTTGATCTACGAGTGCTTTGATCTACGAGTGCTTTGATCTACGAGTGCTTTGATCTACGAGTGCTTTGATCTACGAGTGCTTTGATCTACGAGTGCTTTGATCTACGAGTGCTTTGATCTACGAGTGCTTTGATCCACGAGTTCTTTGATCTACGAGTTCTTTGATATACGAATGCTTTGATCTACGAGTGTTTTGATCTACGAGTGCTTTGATCTACGAGTGCTTTGATATACGAGTGCTTTGATCTACGAGTGCTTTGATCTACAAGTGCTTTGATCTATGAGTGCTTTGATCTACGAGTGCTTTGATCCACAAGTGCTTTGATCCACGAGTTATTTGATCTACGAGTGCTTTGATATACGAGTGCTTTGATCTACGAGTGCTTTGATATACGAGTGCTTTGATCTACGAGTGCTTTGATCTACGAGTGCTTTGATATACGAGTGCTTTGATCTACGAGTGCTTTGATCTACGAGCGCTTTGATCTACGGGCGCTTTGATCTACGAGTGCTTTGATCTACGAGTGCTTTGATCTACGAGTGCTTTGATCTACGAGTGCTTTGATCTACGAGTGCTTTGATCTACGTGTGCTTTGATCTACGGGTGCTTTGATCTACGAGTGCTTTGATATACGAGTGCTTTGATCTACGAGTGCTTTGATATACGAGTGCTTTGATCTACGAGTGCTTTGATCTACAAGTGTTTTGATCTACAAGTGCTTTGATCTACAAGTGCTTTGATCTACGGGTGCTTTGATCTACGAGCGCTTTGATCTACGAGCGCTTTGATCTACGAGTGCTTTGATCTACGAGTGCTTTGATCTACGAGTGCTTTGATCTACGAGTGCTTTGATCTACGAGTGCTTTGATCTACGAGTGCTTTGATCTACGGGTGCTTTGATCTACGAGTGCTTTGATATACGAGTGCTTTGATATACGAGTGCTTTGATCTACAAGTGGTTTGATCTACGAGTGCTTTGATCTACAAGTGTTTTGATCTACAAGTGCTTTGATCTACAAGTGCTTTGATCTACAGGTGCTTTGATCTACGAGCGCTTTGATCTACGAGCGCTTTGATCTACGAGTGCTTTTATCTACGAGTACTTTGATATACGAGCGCTTTGATCTACGAGCACTTTGATATACGAGCGCTTTGATCTACGAGTGCTTTGATCTACGAGTGCTTTGGATGACAAACACGTTTCCGGTACGAATTCTGCTCGCAATCCAAGGTTTCACTGCGTTTAACAAAGTTGAGAGTTTAAGACCAACACCACCCACCGGACTCGCCTGGGACGTGGCAGAGACGGCGCTGCCCCCCCCAACTCCCGCTCGGCGGGGGGCCTGTTGGGGGGCTTGTTGGGGGGCCTGTTGGGGGGCCCGCTGAGGGGCCCAGGCTAGGGCTGAGCACTGCCGCAGGGGGATGCAGCGCAGGGGGCAGCGAGCACGAGGCCCCTTGAAGTACTCGAGTCGGTCCGAGTCGCCAGTCAGACGGCCGCTCTTCAGCACGAACCAGCGGCGCTTCCACTGCCACACGCACACAGACACACACAGAGACAGAAACACACACACACAGACACACACAGAGACAGTCGCCCGTCAGACGGCCGCTCTTCAGCACGAACCAGCGGCGCTTCCACTGACACACACACAAAGACACACACACACACAGAGACACACACACAGAGACAGAGACACACATATACAGACACACACAGAGACAGTCGCCCGTCAGACGGCCGCTCTTCAGCACGAACCAGCGGCGCTTCCACTGACACACACACAGAGACACACACACAGAGACACACACACACAGACACACACACACTCAATCTCTCACACACACACAGAGACACACACACAGACACACACACTCAATCTCTCACACACACAGAGAGACACACACACACTCAATCTCTCACACACACACAGAGACACACACACACAGACACACACAGACTCAAACTCACACACACACAGACTCAATCTCACACACACACACAGAGACACACACAGACACACACACACACAGACACACACACAGACACACACACAGACTCAAACTCACACACACACAGACACACACAGACACACACAGACTCAATCTCTCACACACAGACACACACAGACACGCACAGACACGCACAGACACACACAGACACACACAGACTCTCAGACACACACAGACTCTCACACACACAGACACACACAGAGACACAGAGACACACACAGACACACACACAGACACACACACAGACACACACAGACTCAATCTCTCACACACACACAGAGACATCGGTTCCCCATGTAGCCTTCAACGGAGCGTCTGGGCAAGTGCTGCTAGTAGCGCGTAGCACCTAACACAGACTCATAGATAGACACAGACTCACACACAAAGACCACAACCTCA